AAAAGCTCAACAGGTGAAACCCCGTTCTCCCTATCATATGGGCATGAGGCAATGGCCCTGATTGAAGTAGGAATAAGTTCGTTTCGGAGAGAAGCTTTCAGAAAAGAAACCAACAAAGACCTTCTCCACCTGAGGCTAGACCTGATCGAAGAACATTGAGCCAAGTTTCAGCTATGGCTTGCTTTTTACCAATAGCGAGCCAAATGGTATTTCAACACCAAAGTCAGAAACAAAGACTCTGAAGTGGGCAACCTTGTTCTAAGGAAGGTCATCCAGGGTACCCAAAACCCGAACTTGGGAGCACTTGGACTGATGCGTTGAAATTACAACATGCAATGTGTAGCAAGTGCACTAGTAGCAAAAAGTAATAAAGTGATAAGTAAAGTATCGGTCCCACGAGGATTGCTGGTTAAACACTAATTTTTCTAGTTGTTAATCAAGTTGGAGAAAACGAAAAATGTTTGGATTTGCGGAAGGAATTTAAGCTAAAATGAAAACAAAAATTACTACGAACTTAAAGGCTAATTAATGACAGTAAAACTAATTCAAGAGAAATATCAATTAAACAAATGGCTATGGTTTTGACTTCACTAGGATTTTATGAAATAATCTACGAATTATGCTACTTCTACACTCACATGCACGGATTATAAATCGAACTCCCTAATGTGTAAAACATACCTTCTTAGGCTACATTTCCCTACTCTTCCCTATTAAGCTTCTGCACCCAACAAAATGAAGATTAATAGCTCCAAGTTCGTTAAGCTAATGGAATCCTAAATTGATTTCATTGATTCTCAAACCTATCTCTAGTGTTCAATACAACAATGACAATTACCCTAAAAAGCTCATACATGATCCATTTCTCAATCTCATCATGTTCAACAAATAATTTCAATAAAAATAATAGTAATTACACAATCCATGCAATAGAATGTAAAAGCAACAATAATCTATTGATTAAACATAAAAATCCCAATTACCTCAAAACCCTAACCCAAAGTGAGTTAGTTCATACTAAAATTAACACAAATAGACATAAAAACAGTAAACAATGCATTCAACATGTTGGAATAAATAAAAGGAACAAAAATCTTCCCTATTTGATGAACCCAAGGAGTTTAATCTCCAATCTTCTCCTCTTTCTTCCAAAAAATGTCGAACTCCAATAAAAATGACTAAGTTTTCTTTATATAGTCGGTCCAACAAAACTGAAAACTTGCCTAAAATAAAACTGTGCGTTTTAATAAAAATTGGAACTTGCAAACTTCGCCGCGATGAAGAATAAACCTCGCTGTAGCAACAAGTTCCCGAGAGTTTATCGCCGTGACAAAGAAAGAACTTCGTTGCGGCAAACTGTTCTGAACAATTCTGAAATTACGAAATTGCCCTCTACTTGCTTCCTTGCTTGAATCTTCAATCTTTGGTGCTCTCCAATAGGAACAAGCTTCATAGTGCTTCAAATCCGCTTCAGAACTTCCCCGAATTCTGAGTTTCGCTTGCTTCTAGGTCCAAAAACTCAATTTCGCTCTTTATTTGCTCAAAGTGCACGTTTTGGCCTAAAACATAAAACATATGAAATTAAGTTGTAATTCAGGGAAAAATGACATAAGAAGTATCCAAAATCCGGCCAAAAAGCCTAGACAAAATAGTATAATCCTAGGATTATCATGGACCCAAGTGGGAATGTCCTTTTAGGATCTCTGAAAAGCTCGCACCAGGTTCTTTCCACCTAGAACACCTCAACAGCGAAGCAATAATGCGGACTTGGAACGCCAAGCATTTGCAAAGGTACTATCAATAAACAGCTCGGGTTCCGTTTATTTCTATGAAACCCATTTGTTGTAAGGCTATTTATTGTCGAACACTTGATCAATAAAAAGAGGTATTATTTAGTACTTGCTTTGTTCATCATTTACATTTTCATTTTATTGACAACTAATTATCGATCAATAGATCGTAACCTAAGCAATGATAATCCAAAAGAAAACTCAAAGTCAAGAGTCCAAGAAAGGCAGCTTAGATTGAAAAGCCACGTCAAAATCCAACTCTTTGAGGATAAAACATCCTAAATCAATGAAGTTAAACTTTGAGTTTTTAAACCAAGGAAAAAACACGTCGAAGGGAATCGGCTTTAAGCCAGTGACCAAAAAACTAGAAAATGGACACCAAAGTCCTAAATCAAAGTTAATGATCGCATTAGATTTCCTCGCATAAATCAAGACTAAAACATCCCAAATCGACGAGGTTAAACTTGGAAAAAATTCAGGAAAAGACACATCGGAAAAAATTGGCTCTAAGCCAACGACGAAAAGCCCGATAAGGGCGGCAAGTCTGAAATCGAGGTTAAATGTTGCATAAAGATTATTTTTGCAAAAATCCAAAAAACTCCTAAAGAAGTGAACTACTCAAGACTTTGAGCAAAATTCGGATTTCAAAGTCCAACTAGGACAATTCAAATGACTCGTAGAAATTAAATACTCAACATTCAAAAAAAGAAGTAACGAAAAATATAATGACTCGCAGAAATTAAATACTCAACGCTCAAAAAAAGAAGTAACGAAAAATATTCTTTCATTAATTTCAATGTTTGTTACAATTAGGCTACATATAATAATAAAAAAAAAAAAAAGGAGCAAAAGCTAAAATGGGGGAGCAGGGTCTCAACTTCGATGGCCTTGTGAGCTTACCCTTGAGGGGAAGAGACGGATCCTTGGCATAGGTGATGGTGGCCTGGCTTTCATGATCGGGAGCCTCGTTTGGGGAAACTATGGTTAGAGGCATCAAGTCTTTGATCTCAAGCTTCGCCTCGACTTCCTCGCCACCTCTCATGGGTTTTTCTTGGCCCTTATCCTCAAAGTCGTCTGAGTACATGTAAGTCATCCCCTAGGCCTCGACCTTCATCCTCTCGACCTCTCTTTGATAAGCCCGAGGAAGAAAAGAGAGGTCGATCATCGGATGAGCCTCCCACAACTTCCTCACAAGGAAGACCGATGTCTCCCAAGATCGAGTGGTGATGGCTTTGTTCAGCTCTTCAATCTGAAGCCTCAATTGCTCGACTTCGGCTTTGGCATTTTGCTGACCTACCGTTCCCTGGGCAAGGTCGAGCAAAGCCTCCTCGAATTTGGCCTCCCAACTCACAGATGCCTTTTGGACCGAAAAGAGCTCGGAGTTCAGTTTTTTGTTGTCTTCCAGCTGCTAAGCCAAACTCTTGTTGGCCTTTGCTACCTTAGCTTTAGCCTAAACCTTGGATGCCTTACTCACCTTGAGTTTATCAAGGAACTCCATTTCCTTAATCTCAAAGGCTACAACTTCCCCTTGGAGGCGCTCAAGCTCAGCCTGCCTAGCTTTCCTCTATTTCTCTACAACCTTGACCCTGGCCAAGGCATCCTCTTTAATGGTCTCTGCGAGCATTCATCCCTTGTGAGTGCCCTCCAAGGTTTGGCTGCACTCCTCGTAAAGGAGCCTGCTCGCCATGGCAACCTAAAAAAAAAAAAAGTGGGAAGCGAACAGTAAACAAGAATGGTACCCAAAAAAGGAGCGAGTTTACAATGCCTTAGCCGCATAGCTATAGGATAAGGCCAAAATCTAGAAGGATCTGATCTCGAACTGCCACGAATGTCTACTGGCTAACGCAATCCTTGGCCACTGTGGTCCCAACTTCGATGTGGTCAGGGAGTTGGCCGATCAGGGCATCGATGTCGACCTTAGTCACTTCACTTGCCTCCCCATCCTTGGGCTGGGATGTGTTGGGTTTGCTTCCCCCTGAAGTAGTTGCCACACCTGTAGAGGCGAATTTCTTCTTGTCCAGGCTATTGGCCACACTCTTCTGAAGGCCGCCAGCCTGTGTAGCAACCTCTTTGCCTGAGCCCATTTGCTGCTTGGCCATTTTCTGTTTATCTGAGCCCCGTGAGGCTCGAACACCTTCTTCTTCCCCGAGCCATCTTGTTGCTTGGGCGTTTTACCTTTTCCCGAACCCCCAACAGGCTTGGACATCTTCTTTATTGGCCCTTTAGGGAGGCCGAAAACATTTTTCCTGCCAACCGCCTTAGAAGCAGTCACGGGCTTCTTCGATCTTGTTCCTTCCCCAAGCTTGTCTCTAGCACGCTTTGTGCCAACAACACTCGCTAGCTACTTTAGCGCCGGAGTAGTCGACACCTTCTTTGTGGGCGCTATTTTCTTCCTCAAACTCTTGGATTTCTTGACCCACATTTCTACGAGAGAAAAAGGGAAATAGATCAGCAATCTATTTTGCGCGGAAAGTTAAATGCGAAGAAAGAACAACTTACCTTTCTCTAAGAGCACTAAAAACTTAGCCTTGTCCCAGCAAAATCCATACACTTGTAGGTAAGAGAGTATGAGGAGCTCGTGAATGTTGTGTGAACTCTTAGGAAGGTCGTTGAAACACTACAGCCTCTACAATCTCACCACTAGAAGGTAGTTTTACTTGACGTTAACCATAAAAGAAGTAACCCAGTTACACAAGGAAGCAAAGCTAGAAACTTGTCCTGACGTGCTCGAGCGATTAAAGCCTTACTCGCTTCTAGAGCGAAGACACCACTCTCCTCAGCTTCGTAAAAGAAGAACTGAGAGTCTCGTGTGAGATCTTCTTTCAGGATGTTGACCAACCCATTGAAATGTGCTCTCCTCGCTTAGGAGAGGTAGTATGTCTGATCTTGTCCCTTTTTGAGCCTATTTAAGTGGATTAGCTCCTCGACGGTTGGCTCACCCAACTCAGCAACCATAAACGCGAGGTATACCCCAGTAATGATCAAGTACGAGTTGGCCATTAGTTAGAGAAGGATAATGTCAAACATCTTCAACATCTGGTCAGTGAAGGGATGTAGGGGAATGGATACCCCACATCGAAGGAGAGTCTCAAAAATTTCCACCCATCTAGGTGGAGGGTTCTTCCGAGAATACTCTCCTAGAGCCATCTAGTTCAACTGGGGCACATAGGTCACCCTAATGCGTTGAAAATCCTCGACAGTGATTGAGGATTATAGCTCTTTGCGTATCCCATGAGCCGTAGTCGGTAGGGACTGGGCTAATTGGATTGAAGCTTGATCGGACAAGCTTGTGGCATCAGGATCCAACCTTCCAGTGACAAATTCTTTGGATTTCTCAAGGGATGCATCCCCAAGGACTGCCGAACCAACAGGCGAGTCAAACATCCTATCTATGGTGCGATTGCTTAACGAAGACATGTTTTGACTTGATGTTGGGTACTTGAAAAAAGAAGCAAACATATGTTAAAGCTAGAACAACTTAGTGACCATTTCACACTCGCTTCTATTTCAGGCACTAGGGATAGCTCACACAACACAATGGAATTACACAACCTACTTGGGACACCAATGACCATCGTGTTAAAGCCATTAGAAACTCGAGACCGCTGGAAAAACACCCCAAAAACCCTTCTAAAACCTTAAAACACCCAATGTGGCCACTATAATGGCCACCCTTTGGCACAAAAGTTAGAAACATAAGCCAGGAAGGGAAAGAGATCTCACCAGAGTAAGAAGAAAGTCTTGAACTGGTAGGAAAAACCATGACGATGACATAACAGCAACAGCGAAGAAGAGCCAGAAAACGTCAAAAAATTCTTAGAATGGTTGAACTGAGAAAATTCGCCACCTTTTATAGTGTTTTTGCATGGGAGACGAAAGGGTAGGGTTTAATCTTGACTGTTGACTTGCAATCAATCCTAGCCCTTCGTTCATTGAGCAATCTCAACTCTCGGACGTGGCCACATGTCGACCATCCATGAGGATCGATGAACCGTCAGATCGAGGACAATGATAATCATCGCCGCACGTCACTTCATCTTTGCGCGTGAACAGCTGTAGTCACCCATGCGCTACGTACCATGACTGACAAAGGTTGTCACATTTAATGCGACACGACCACGCATAATTTATACTTATGCCCTGAAATTTTTGTATTCTGAATTTCAACAGGTGTCACAGGTAAAAATGCCAAGTGTGAAGAACTTTGACCAGGCATGAAGCTGATCATTGAAGTTCAATTGAACATGCTGCAGAAGTCTGATCGAGCGCACGTCCGAAGACCTGTTGATAAGGTCGAGCTTGGCGTCAAATAAGCAACAGTTTTCGAGCCTAAAACAAACATTGAACATTAGGAGCAGATGTTGTGTGTGATTTTTCTAGCAAGCTCGGGTTGAGGCGAGGATATAGCTCGACCCAGAAGAAGTTTGGTGACGGCGATTGATCGACCAAGCATAAGCTTGTTGAGTGAAAGCTCGACCCAACACAAGGTAGTCGTGAACAATCTAAGCCATCATTCAATCAATCCCTAGATCACTTCAAATCCCAAATATCACGGGAATGACCAAATCAACAGTGATCACTGCGTGATTGCAGCACTCAATCACAAGAATATCGGGATTATGATTTCAATCAATCAGGATCCCCTCAATGTCATTCTTTCCATTTCACAAAGCTTGTATATAAACCCCCTCAAATGATGAGAGAGGGGTTACAAAATTTCTATTAAGAATTGAATTGTAAGCTTTCACAGCAAATACAAAAAGCATAATGGACGTAGGCTGTTAACTTCGCCGAACCACTTTAAAAGTCTCCTTTGTAATTTATTTACTGCATTACAAACCATCCATAGCTGATTATTTGTAATCACGCTCACATCAACTCTGATCCCAACGAGGTCGATCAGAGCTCGTTGGTTGGTGTAGAAATCTATATAAACAACTATATAATATAATCAGATTATTTTTTTAATTTTATTAGTTTTAAAAAATTTTAAATTAGATTTAAAACATTTTTTTTTTTTTATGGTTTGTTTACTTTTTAAACTTATAATTCAAAATCTAACTAAATAAATATTCAGAGATATATAAGTCTTTCGGTTTTTTCATTAAAATTAACAGTAAATCACCATTAGTTATCCCTAAATTGAACGATTTGAAATGTAAATCCTTTTAATATCATTTCAACAAAACATTGTACTTACATTGATAGCATCCCTTTACAAAATTATTCACTCCCTAAGGGATCATGCTGAGGAGTGATGTAGTTTGAAGTTAGGCTCGCTAATGAATATTCTTTATGTGAACTGCACAAGGGTTTATCACTACTATGTTTCAGACTTAGAATTTATGAGATGCTCAATTTATTTTCAGAAAATGATTTTTGAGGGTTAAAAACTTCATCTCCATAAATTACCTCAATTTTACAAACTTTGAGTTCCAAATAAGAGTTGCAAATAAGATATAGTAAAAATTGTAACTTATAAAATACAAGCATCATCTATTATAAAAACTAAGCTTAATTTTTTAATGTGAAAGATCCATTTAATATTGATAACCAAGTGTTTACTCATAAAAATAGTTATAATATATAACATGAAATAAATTAAACACATAAAATAAATCAATTACAATAATGCTTAACGTACAAAATTTTTTTATAAAGATTTCTATACAAAGTAATATGGTAGAAAATGAATGGAAGAGTACTCTTCCATTTATTTTTTACAACATCTCTTTGTATAAAAATCTTTGTGAAATTTCTTTGTATGTATAGTATTACTCAATTAAATATATAAAATTATAGTGTAGAACCATACCAAAGTTATTATCTTGATCCCAATTTTAAGTGTTTAACAAGAGACAAGTAAATATTGAGGAAATCCTTTTTGTTTTCGAGAAAGAAAGTTGCCATTTATTTACTGGGGAATTCTTATGTTCTATGGCAATCTAAATCCGTTTGCTTTCAGCCTTTGGCAGGTTGTCTTAAAGCTAGGCTTGTAGGTCAGAAAGGGAAACTTTTTGTGGAATATTCATTTTTGTCAAACTTATGAGTTGTGTGTGTGCACACTAGTTGCCAATTTTATGATTTGGCTTGTTTCCTTTGTAGTGTGTGTGCACATCAGTTATACATGCACACTAATTGCCAAACTTGGGTAGTAAGCAATGGCAAGGTGATGTGATGCAGTAATGTACATGACTACATTAAGAAGTTATTAAGGATACCCTTCATGATGTGCATAGTTCACCATATTTGGTTGAATCAAAGGAGCATATCCAGTATTTTGAAAAGTGCCTCCTTTAGGACCAGAATTATGGATTTGTGATATATTGTTGAAATTTTGAATTTGTGACACATTATTGAGGTAATTTGCTTGTGGAAGTTAGTCATTGCACTGTTCTGTTTTTCAATGTGCATCTCATGCTTGTGTAAAAGCAATTAAGCTTCCTAAAGAGTGGTATTACTACTGTTAGCAATAAGATTTGCCACCATGGCATCAAATTTTGGACCTAAATCATCCAGTATATATAATAGCAATTCTTCTTCTCCAATTTGAACCCCACTAGCTACCAACTCATCACTTATTTCTTTCATTCTCAAAATGTATTCATTAACACTCATGGACTCCTTTTTAGTATTTTGCAACAAATTTCGTATATGTAGTGTCCTAGCCTTGGAGAAAGATTGAAAATATAGTTCTAATGTATTCCAAATCTCACATGCACTTGTGCATTTGGCTACATGCCTAAACATGGATTCGGAAATAGTGGAAACCAACCAGCTTACTAAAAATTGATCTGTTTTCTTCCAATCAAAGTATTTTGGATTAGTTTCTTAACAACTTATTCAAAATCTATCATCTTCTCAATTATCAACATAGAGGGACATGTATTCACACTGTTACAGAGCCGTCAAGCTCATTTGAGGTCAACACAGGTAGATTTTGAGACCTCTAGTAATTATAGTCCTTTCTCCCTAATTTGACTGAGAGAGATGGAAGAGAAGAGTGAGCTATTGAATTCAGCGCATTTGCACTATCAACTTGCTCTTTAACAATCTTTGAACCAGAATTTAAGACTTCAGAACTCAGATTAGTCTGTCGGTGGCTCTAATACCATGAAGTTTCTTGAGCGGAATTGAAAAGTAGAATTAAAAATAGTAAATGTTGAGAGAAGAGTCTAGAGCTGTAAACGAACTGAAGAAAAAGTGTGTTGATTTCTGTTAACTGAATCTTCTTCAACAACCAAAATAGAAAATAACAGTCTCTTATATAGAGACAGAAGCAAGTTACAAAACGGTGCGTTTAAGCGCTTACTTGCAAACTTTACAAAACACACCCTAAGCACTACTTACAAATTTTACAAAAACACCTTTACTAACTCCTATACCTAATAGTATGTATCTATGAAGGCACGTGCACCAGCACTTGGGACTTTGCTTTGTCTCCTTCTTTCTTTTCACTTCCTGTAGGACCCATACTCACCAGTTCTGCATATTTAAACTTCTTTATCATCAATGTTACTATCTTAACCGCACCTGCTCCATATCCAATTACTTCTATCATGCTCTTCTCATCCCAAATCAACCTTGCTGATTCCACCACACCTGTATGAGTGTCAAAACAGATGAAAGAATAAGGTGATACATACAACATTTTTGTTCTAAGTACTTTCTTAATTTTATCAATAATTAATATTCTTTTATAAACATTATTAAAACTCTTGGAATGAAATTTAGCTTAATGCATACGTTTTTATTAAGATAAAGATTTTGATGTCTAAAGTTAACATTTTTAGAAAGTTTTCTAAATAAGAGAGAGTCTATATACTATTGTGACACTATATCAACAGTACTTCATATCAATACTTATGATATGTAGATTTTCAATTTAGTAATGGTTAATAATATTAATTCTGAAGGTAGAGAGAGAGAGAGAGAGAGAGAAAGAGAGAGAGAGAGAGAGAGAGAGAGAGATAGAGAGAGAGAGAAATCTAGAGGTGACATAAATTTCTTAAGTTGTGTTATTCAAGATTTTCTCCTAATAAACATCGATAATTAATCAATGTTATAAGTGAGGTTATGATATAAAAAGTAATTTAAATAAAACTGTAAAGCATAACTTATTACTGCAAAATTTGGAGCAGTTAACTCATAACAAACAAGTTAAGAGGACAAATCAATTTGTTGAACATAATTTAGTAGAAAATTTAAAGGCAAATCTGTTAGAGTATGTGCCCTAGAGCCAATCAATTATTGTAAAATTGACTCTATAATAAATGTTTATTTATCAATAAAAGGCATATTCTTCTATACCGTGTATGTAATGATATATGTCCTTAGGATGGTAGAACCGTGACGAGGGTATCAAGTGTTTCAAATCTTAATAATGAGAACACTATGATCACATATGGTGGTCATTCTAGAAACATCCGTAGCCATAATATTATTCTGACCAAGGATACAAATAATAGAGTAAGGCTATCATAGTGTTGAATGACCTTGTTGAAAGGCATGACTGATCTCACTTGTCAAGGTTGTTTTTCGACAACATGGTTTAATGCATGGGTGATTGCTAGAGGCAAGTTTACTGAACAGACCCACCAGAGGATTCCATATGGATGGTAACCCCAGTGTCTATGAAATAAATCCTCTAACGGATGGTGGTGCATATGATCCTTAGACTTAAGATCACAGGAGCGTCTTGTGCACCAATTGGTGTAGTTTGACACTAGCCCAACGTAGTTCTATTAAGAGCTATCAATACGGTAGTGATTGGCTATATTAAGACGATGGTGGATTGACAAAGGATTCATCACTCCTGGGTATGGGAGAAGTTATCTCACTAGGTAATTTAATAAATGGCAATGCCACTAAATCTGTGGCCATAATGGGATTGAGTTGATGCTCATCCAATTTAATATCCTTGTCATTGGTCCAGTAGCTAAATACAAACATGTTGAGGATATATGAGGTTGACACTATTTCTGTACCTCAATCTTGATGAGATAACAGTTGATGAAATGATTTGATTGCACAATAACCATACCGTTGACAGGTTATGATTTCGTTGAATCCGAATCTATTGGGTGACCATGATGCCTTACTAGGGGTCAATCTTGGTCTGTGTGTTGTGAGATGATTAATTGGTGTTAATCTCGATACTACACACTATCGATATGATGAGGAGCCTATGGGTCACACACTTAGAAGATAATTTAAGAATTAATTTGTGAGAAGGGTATTTTTTCCTTTTAGGATGAAAGGGTATTTTGTAATCTTACATTGCAATTAAATTTGCCGAGATTGTTGCCTGTATTTAATTTTAATATTAAAATTAAATTAGTGAGATTATATTTAAATATATCTCTGTATATATTTAAATGAATTATTATTAATTAAATGTTAATATATTATTATATATTAATTGATTTTAATTATAATAATAATCAATTAATTAAAATACCATAAATGGTGTGTTTGGTTGCAAGGGTGAGCTAGGGTTGGAGCCCATGGTTATTCGTAAGTGGAATAGTGTTTTAATTGTTACACTATATAAGTGCAACCTAAAATTAAAACAAAGAGAATTATTCATTCAATCAAAACCCTAGCCACCCAAAAGGTTCTCTCTCTCTCACGTTTTCTTCTTCAAGTGAAGAAGAAATTTTTTCAATTTTGATTGTTCTTGATTCTTGATGCCGGCAAATGTTCTAGCAAAACAATTGTCGGTTCTTCGGATTATCTTCATGTGGACTTCTGTCAGTGCGATCCCACATTGGATCGATTAGTAAAAAATCGCATGAATAGTAGGCGGTCAACAGTAATCGGTGAATAGTTTCATGTCTGAAATCAGAGATATTCGAAGGAGCCTCCAAACATACGTAAGTATTCTAATCCTTGAATTGATTTATTTTATACATATTTTGTTTATATATATGTAAATGGTATAATTTATACTCGGATCTTGGCGAAAAGATAATTGATTCACCGACTGAATTTTTTTTTTCTCACTACATTTGGTAGATCAATTACTTACAAAATCAACTTATCGAATAACAAAAATTTCATGGAAAACTTAGAAGTTCCCATTCCGAGAAAGAAGATTTTGGTTCAATAATATCAACAATCTAGTTTTGAGATACGATGAGATGAAATGGTGATGGAAATATATTTGCGCATAGGAATAGATGGCTAAGAATTATGTGAATTTGATCCCTACACCCGCTTATTTTCTAGCTCTCTAATATGACCAAAACAGATCTAAAATCCCAGGTCGCAATGGGCTTACCTAGGCCCAAGTAGGGCCTATCCGAGCTTCAGCCTTGGGTTTTGTTGACATGTTGAGGTTTTTTTTCTTTTTTTTGTTCAAATTTTAATTAATGTATGGGGTCTAAAGTAATTTATTTGAGGTTATTGTAATTTTATATTATAAAAGGTATTTAGATGTAATTTATGGGGTCTTTTTGTAACTTTTAGAAGGTTATATGTCATTTTATATGGGCTTACTGTAATTTTGTAAAGGGTAATTAATGATCTTTGAACCCCACTTATTTGATCAGTTGCCCTTATTCAAAGGGAAAATTTGTAATAAAATATAATAATAAATGGTACTTAGTTAAAAAGTGGGTTTACTTAGCAAAATTCTCATTTTTGTATAAAAAAAATTACCATTTTTGTCTTTCACTTCAATTCATTGAGATCTCTTAAATCCAACATTCTTCTTTCCTTCTAATGATCGGATTTATTGTTTTCGTCAATGTTTTTTTTAATGATCAGATTTATTGTTTTTATCAATTTTCCTTCTAACAATCATCTGTTGTTTAAGATCAATAAATCATAATCTAGTTTATATTCTTATCTCAAAGCTTATTATGATAGTATCCTCTACTTTTATGCTCCTTATAGATCTTTTTTTTGTTTTTGGAATTATCAATATAATCTAACATTTTTTATTCTATTTTCATGAATAATTAAAGAAATTTTTTTGTTATAAATCATTTGCAATCTTTTAATGAATTAAAAACAAGTTATTTTTTTATATAGTTAATAAATATATTTAATACAAACTATTTATTTAAAATAGAATAACATAATCGAAATAAATCTTTCTTTTGTTACATTTGATTTATATTATATCATCATTATTTAATTATTAAATTGATGAATTTTTTGGTTTGTTAGGATTCTTCATTTTTTTTTAAGAACTGAATAACATAAAATGAATTTAGAATATAAAGTTACTTTCACTTAAATATAAAATAAGATTACCCTTTTAACCAAAATGTTACTAGAATTTGAAAAACAAAGTAATCAAGTAGATTTAAGAAAGTTGTGCAATTAACTTTGAGCCTTAATCTCACAAAAATGGCACCAACTATTTCTAACGCTTGAATCTTATGGTTGATATTCTGAAAAAGAGTTCTTTACCGCCCAACACAAGCTAAATGAACCATATCCTAGAAGATTCTCATACATTATTTGCAGCTTAAAGCTCAAGTTCTGAAAATTTTAGCAGCATGAATGGATTATGCAACACATGGAGGCAACATGGAACAGAGCAACTCTTGAGTATTAATAGAAAGAAACTTCACATTTATGAAGAAAATCAGGATTCAATTTGTTTTTTAGGAATATTTATTTTAAATATTGGAAAGAAACCTTACCCTTAGAGAAAAGCCAAACAGGTGGACTCCAGAAAATTTCAGAATAGCCAGGAAAAGCTGAGAGTTTATCAGTGCAACGATTTCCAAGTTAAAATCAAAGCATTACTTCCAGGATAATCACAATCAACATTTGGATGAATCTATCAGGTAAATGAACACAATTCCATTTACATACAGAGAACTCTCGAGCCGAAAGAAAAAAGTTACACTCTCTGAACATGTGCTTATGATCTAACAGATTCTTTAGTCTTATAGTTATTTTAATTTTTAGATTCGTGTAAATTATGAAAAAAACCTGTTGTTCATTATGAGATAAATCTTCCATGACATTATCATCTAAACCTTGTGTATTCATATTAACTGAATTCTGAATTAAGGAAATTCAGTGTCACATAATTCTCAGCAATCAAACAAATGGGTGAACTAGGACTTGCAGGAACTTCGGATTACTGACAACTTTTTCTAACAACAATTTGAAAGGAATTCAACGCTTCTCTGCTAATTATCAGCAATCATGGCTCTTGAAGCAGCTAACCCGTAATAATCAAGTTCCAGAAGGCAAAACAGAGTCATTTGTCAAATTTAAAGCCAAAAGGAAGCTTAATCTTTTGGCATGAAGGGCAGAACAGGAAATCAATTTCAAGAGGGCAAAACACGAATATAATTAAATTAAATTATCATCGATTCCTATATTCTCTCTCATCTTCTTACCGTTCTCTCCCTTATCCAACACCAAGTAAGCCGTCAGTTTGTTAGTTTCCTCAAATAATAGATTTTAACTCGACACACAAGACTTGATCACTCTTATCTCTTCTAAATTTTACCCAATTCCAGTAAATTACATATTTTTTTTTTTTTAAACCGTAAATCTTCCAAATTATTTTCCAGCTATTTATACTAGAACATTTTATTGGTGTTATGCCTGAAAAGTTAGGGTTGATGTGAACTTTCATCAACAAGAGCCAATCAGAGTTCAGGAAGGTTTTATGCCATCCAGGCACTGCCATGTCACGCAGTGACGCAAAGGGTATGGTTCTTGTCAGTACAGTAGGTGAGTGCCAAGCTTGTGAGTGGTTAGGGATTATCCACTTGTTTAAGCCCTATGCAATTTGATGATATTTCTCATGCAGATAACCAATGGGATGCATAGAAGGATTTGCACAGCACCTGCCCACTTGTAGACTTGTAATCATTACCTTGAACTCTCCCACTATAAATAGAGGAGACCCCTCTCATTTACGGGATTGGCTAATCTTAATCTGAAATAGCTTAAACATTTTATCTCTTTTGTATTCTCTCTAGATTATAACTCAGCTCGCTACACGCGACCTAATTTTACCCATCTATTAATACAATAACAGTGGATGTAGGATTCGCTTTTGAGCATTCGAACCACTTTAAATATCGCTCCTCACTCATTGTTTCATTTCATGTTTCCTTATCACGGGTGATTTCTAAGTCCGTTTAGCACTTTGCATGTGTGAGTCGTTGGTGTCAAAATCAAACATCAATAGTTTGGCGCTAGAAGGAGGTTCTAATTTAGTATACGCTCTTCATTAGAAATCTCTGACCAATTGGTCCTACCAATCAGCAAATGGCTCGCAGTTTCGAATCTAAGCAAACCGACTATGACAATGAGGAAATCCCCTAGGTACAAGAGGACACTTCTCCGAAAGTGTCGCCAGTCCAACACAGTATCATGGCGCATATTCCTTCAAGCTCGCAGCTTGACCCAACTGTCATGAGTTATCTGGAGAGGTTCAATAATACTCTCCAAATGGTTAGCCAAAGGCTAGACCAATTGGATCGGTTCGTGCCACCATAATCCAATGAGGTGGTGCCACCGCCAAAAACGCCTGCAAGTCGCGTGAAAATGCAAAAAAGGGTGAAAGCCCATACCATGCACACTGTAGCGCGTCAAAGAAGGTCAAAACAAGTGGCAAATAATGGAACAGAGGGCTCCGAGGCACTAGCAAACATCGGTCGCACAATGGGTAGAATACCTATGGTACTGTGACATGGTGACACATCACATGGGCACTCCTATAAAAGTGCAAGGCGGGGAGATTCCCAATATCGATCGCCGAAATGACGACCTTGACTGTCGTCATGCGGGAAATCCCCGTCGTCTGCGGATCGGTTCAGACCACTATAGAGATCAGGAAAATTCCCCAAATCACTTAATGCCATCATGTGACTCCAGCCAGTGTGTGTCAAGGTTTGTCGGAGCTTCTGGCCGAGTGGAGGAAGAGTCTGATTTGCGGTCTTTCCTCAACCGTAACCGTGAGGGTCGAACCTACGTTGTGAAAAGTGATCCCTAGTAGCTCTATTGCCTTAGATTGAGGAACTACAACAAGCGTTGGATCAGCTTAAGGCTCAACAGAATGAGCGTGGGAAGGTCATAGAGGCATCTCTCTTATCTCCGGTAGTGTTAGTTGTTCCTTTCCCATCAAAATTCAGAATACTCGACATGCGAGCATTCGATAGGATTATGGGATTCAGACCCACAGGATCACCTGTACGAGTTCAACAACCTCATGAACTCCACCAAGTCTCCGACTTGACAAAATGTCGTTGCTTGGCAGTGACCCTAACTGCCCATGCCAAGCGCTGGTTCAGGTCGCTTCTCGCGAGATCAGTCATCTCATGGCCTCAAATGAGCTCATCATTCCTGAGACACTTCCAGGCGAATAGGAAGTTCTCAATGCCATTAAGATATCTAAGCAACCTACGACAGGAGAGGGATGAATCCTTCCAATCTTACATAGACAAATTCCACAGGGAACTCCACAAAATGGCTTATACTCCCGAAAAGTCTATTCAGACTCTCATTATTGTGGCAGACAAATTTGTAGAAGGAACTAAAATATGAGGATGATGTTTCCTTACTCGCTTCTTCAACCTCACCGAAAAATACCTCTGTATTGAAAATTTTGTGGCCGCTCTCAATCGCCACGACCCTGGTCCCTCGAGTAGTGCTCCCAACTAGGGGGAGAATAGGAGGACTGATCACTAATGGGCTAACGATGATCAGTAGAAAGGAAAGAAGCAGCAGTTACTCGTCGCAGTCGCGACAAGAATCAATACACTTCTCTAAACGCCTTAGTATCGACCATTCTAGATAAGTCAGAGAAGGCCGGCTTACTTAGAGAGCCAAAGCCCATGAGAAATCGCCACTCAGATAGAAACACTAAAAAGTACTATCGCTATCATAGGGATAATGAGCATCACACTGATGAATGTCGAGCTCTCTAGCAAGCAATCGAAGACCTCATCAAACAGGGGCACTTCAAAGAATATGTTAATGGCCCAACTCCCGTTTGGGAGAAGGATCAAGAGGAACCAGGGAAGAAGCACCGTGGTCACAAAGGACTTTATTGTTCGGAAATCATCTTCGGAGGACCACACCTCGCGAGAATTTCGAGATGCCCAAGATAGGTATGCTTGGGAAGCCCGTCATGACCACGTGTAATGAGCATAATGTCATGACCCGCTAAGGTTGGAACGTGGTTCCATTGACGAAAGCTTGAAGGGAGTTCAAGCTGTGGAGTTGGAGGGTGTCTTTGGCGTTGAAGCATGAGTGGAGCTCGAGTTATCCAAGAGGTGTATTGGATTCAAGCAAGCTGTGGCAAGACAATGGATCATCCAAAGGGTGATTGTGAAAGCAGGAAGTGTTCTACAGTTGATTGCTTAACTTCAACTTTATAAATGAACCTTGAATGTTTGTTATTGAATGACTTTGGAATCAAGAAGCAAAGTAAATCGAACGAGTAAAGAAGTGAATTATGGAAAAAGTTAGTTGTAATATTCTAACTAAATTCAATGAAGGTACACAAAGATGATTGGCTTGTTTTATACAAGCCATAATATCAATACGGCAGTGTTTTGATGTTCAAGAGTCTACTTTTACAAAGTACAGCCTACTTTTGCTTTCTTACAAAATACATCCCATAACCATTTTACAAACTAACTTGAGCTATTCTTAACTTCTACAATCTCATCCTATTATACTAACATTTCCTCTTAAACTGGACATAGTAATGTACTAGTGTACACCAATATTTGCCTTTAAACTTGACCTCATAATGTACTAGCATATGTTTATATTACCCTTTAGAATGAACCTCATTTTATAGTCTTCAAGGTGCAATCACAACAATCACTGCAAGTCTAATCAGCAAATATTTCAAGTGCAGTAGTTAACACTAAGACAAATAAGGAGAAAATATGCCATAGTAGAAAACTTCGGCACAAGAGCACCAAAATCACCAGTTCTTCATGAATCCATGAATTCATGAATTAGTAATTCAACAGTTGCTTTTTTGCTTTTAAGCTTGACTTTGAGAATTTTAATGCTTGAATTAGAAAAGGTCTCCAAGGGACCCATCAAGGGAAGCTACTACTTCCAGAATCAAAATGGAACTTGACAAAATCTTAGGGATTCATCAAGAGCAGTTACTGTTTCTAGAATTAGAATGAAACTTGACAGAATCTTCATCTTTAATAAGCAAACTACTATCGTTATGAAGGCCTTTATCTAACTCATTACCAACCTCAGCAATTACCTTTAACTTGGCTCAGAGAGTTTGAAACCTAGAACTTGGAAGTGCCTTGGTCAAAATATCTGCAACTTGATATCTTGTACCAACATAATGAACACATAGGTTCTTCTCTACGGCTAATTCTCGGACATAATGCATATCTATTTCAATGTGCTTACTGCATGCATGGAAAACATGGTTTGAAGAGAAAGCACTAGCACTCATATTGTCACCCCACAAAATAGGACTGTTGTTAATAGTTATACCAAGTTCTTGAAATAGGTGTTGAATCCAAACCAATTCAGTGGCTGTTTGACTAAAAGCTCTATATTCAGCCTTTGTTGAAGATAAAGAAACAACATTCTGCTTCCTAGAAACCCATTGTACTAGATTTCCTCCAAGGAAGATGTTATAACCACTAGTTGATCTCATATCACTTTACATCACTAGCCCAATCTACATAGGCATATCCTTCAAGGATGAATTCTGAGTTTTTTTGAAAAATAAGTCCATGTGAAAGAGTTCCCTTGATATAGCAAAGAACTCTTTTACAAGCAGTCCAATGTGCAATGGTGGTAGACTAAAGAAATTGACTTAAGCGATTGATAGAGAAAGCCAAATCAGGCTTAGAAAGGGTAAGGTATTGTAGACCACCTACAATGCTATGGTAGATTGAAGGTTGGTCATAAAAAGCACTATCTTCTTCCCCCTAATTTCACACCTGTTGCCATTGGTGTATTGCAAGGTTTACAATGAAACATTCCAACTCTAATCAACAAGTCTTGAGCATACTTAGACTGAGTAAGGTGTAATCCTAAATCATTGCGATTAACCTTAAAGCCAAAGAAATATTGCAGCACACCAAGATGTTTAAGAGAAAATTGTTTGTTCAAGTCTTGAATAATTTGTGAAATGAGAGTAGGGTCAGTACCTATGATGAGAATATCATCAACATATACCAATAGGTATATCACTTGATGGTCTCTCTTGTAGAAGAAAAGACTAGTGTCAGATACAAAATTTGTGAATCCCCAACAGATTAACACATATTTTATTTGTCAAACCAAGCTCTAGGAGCTTGTTTCAGCCTATACAAGGCTTATGCAGCTTGCACACATGCTTAGGATAGGTTAAATCAGCAAAACCTTCTGGTTGTGTCATGAATACAGTCTCTGTTAGTTCTCCATTTAGAAAGGAATTATTAATGTTGATTTGTTGGATATCCCACTGATTATGGACAGTTAAGGATAGTATAATTCTGATAGTGACAGGTTCCACAACTGGAGAGAATGTGTAAAAGTAATCCAAACCTGGTGTTTGTTGAAAACCTTTAGCCACTAGCCTAGCTTTATACTTTAATAATGTCCCATTTACTTTAAGTTTAGTCTTAAAGACCCATTTACATCCAACTGCATTCATGTCCGATGTATAAGGAACCAATTCCCAGGTATTGTTTCTCAAAAGTGCCTGGAATTCATCATTCATTGCTACTCTCCACTCGGGTACTTGTAAAGCTTCAGAAGCTATTTTTGGCTCAGGTAAAATATGACTAGTAAAGAGAAAAGCTTGTCGTGTATATGCTTGAGAGTGGATGGAAATTACTAGTAGATGCTGATGGTTCAGATATGGGACTTTAAACGGATGCCAGTAGAGTGAGTAGAAAAGGACATATCTTGGGAAACATCTATATCAGGCTAAGAGATTGAGTTCGGGCCTACTAAGTGAGAGGTATATTGGGAGAATTAATAAGTACTTTTTCAGTATCCCTCTTTAAGCCTTTTGTGTGAGGCATCATTTGATTTGGTACAATTTGATGTGCTAAATTGTCAGATTGCAGGATTGAATCAGGGGCCAAACAAACTGAAGTAGGCATGGCTACATTTGGTTGGGCTAATTTTATGGACTGTGAAGTTAAGGCAAGAGCTAAATTTGTTGGGGAGTTAACTGGAGCATTATGAGCAGAAGTAACAATTGGAGCAAAGTGAACACCAGTTGAAGAATTAAGACAGTGAGAAAAATCCCAAGTAGAAGAAACTCCTTCTGAATTTAGTGTTGGTGTCAGTCCTGCAAGGTCAGTATCCTTAAAACAATTACACTTAAAACCATATTTGAAAGGAAAATCATCCTCATTGATTATTACTTGTTTGACAATATAAATTTTTTCGAAAGAGGATAAGCATTGGTGGCCTTTGTGGGATGAACTATACCCTAGAAATACACACTTTTTAGTGTGATAGAAAAACTTATTTCTCTGATAGGGCCTAATATATGGGCAACAACAGCTCCCAAACACCTTAAAATCATTGTAATTTGGCTCTTGATTAAATAGTTTCTTAAACGGAGAAATATTAGCAGTGGAAGAGGAAGGAAGTCTATTGACAATGAAGGTTGCTGCAGAAAATGCTTGCCATTAAAAAGCAAAGAGGCATGGCAGCGTAAGCTAGCAGGTTTAACCAAAATTCAGTAATGGTTTAGTGTTTCCTTTCCACTCTTCCATTTTGTTGGTGCAAGTAAGGGCATGGATGTCTAAAAAAATCCCATATGCTTGAAGATAACCTGCAAATGGTCTGAATTCTCCTTCCAATCTATTTGCAAGCTTTTCAATTTAGCTTCAAATTGCCTTTCAACAAGTCTATGAAAATGTATAAATATATTGAAAGCTTTAGACTTTAGTTTTAAGGGATAGATCCATATATATCTTTTAAAGTCATCCACAAATAACATGTAATACTTGAAACCTTCAAAGAAACAAATTGGTGCAGGACCCCATAAGTCAGAGTAAACCAATTCTAAAGGACCTTAAGTGTGAGATTGTGATAAAGAAAAAGTAGCTTGTTTCATTTTACCAAATTGACAAGCTTCACAAAAAGGCATTTTATTCTCAAAAGAGCCAAATATATTCATTGTATCTATTACATGTTTCAAGTTCCTCTCATGTGGATGCCCCAATTTAGCATGCCACAGCTTAGTAAATCTAACTTTTATCTTAGATTCATCAGTTGGCATGCAATGACCTTGACTAACTAATGCTCCAAGACTAACATTAGAAGAATAAGTAGTAGTACTAGTAAAAGGCTTATTCTCTGTACCACGAACTGATGAAATAGTAGCACTAGCAAATGCTTTATTTTCTATACTACGAACTGATGTAACAACAGCACTAACAAATGCCTTATTTTTTGTACTATGAACTGATGAAGCAACAACACTAACAGATGCCTTAGTATAGTCAAGGGAAGATGAAGATACGCCTTTCAAAGTAGAGGAGTAAACGAATGTAGAACAAATAGTAGGGAGTGAAATTTGCAATTGGTATAACCTATCACTTAGAGAGCCTTGCAGCAAAATAGCCTTGGTGACCTTATCCTTTATGAGACAACGATCACAATGAAATTCCACAATGATATTTGCTTTAGTGTTGGTGTTTGTGTTAGGTTTCAAACTAATCCATCTGAATTGCATTTGAATGCTCTAAAAAGAATCATGAAATATATTTCAGGTACGTGTGATTTTGGCCTTTGGTACTCATTTGATTCTAACAATTGTTTGGTTCGATATAGTGATGCAGATTGGGCAAGAAGCTTTGATGATAGAAAGAGTACTTCGGGTGGACGTTTCTATCTTGAAAACAATCTTGTCACATGGTACAGTAAGAAGCAAAATACAATCTCCCTATCCATTACCGAGGTTGAATACATGCTGCAGAAAGTTGTTGCACTCAAATTCTATGGTTAAAGCAAATGTTAAATGATTATGGTGTTAATCAAGATTGTGTGACAATTTTTTGTAATAACACGAGTGTCATTAACATCTGTAAGAATCTAGTCCAGCATTCTAGGACTAAGCATATTGACATAAGACATCTTTTTTTTTTATAGAGTTAGTTGAGGAAAACATCATTGCACTTGCTCATGTGAATAGAAAATCCCAATTGGCTGATTTATTTACAAAAGCACTTGATTATGATACTTTTGTTTTCTTGAGGAATTCCATTGGACTACTTCAACTTGAATAGTTTTTAAATTCTATTAATGAATAAAGCATGAACATGCTACTTTTATTTTTGTTTGTCAAGACTCCCTAATCTGTGCTAGCACTCTAATTGACATTTATTTTCTCTTATCTGTGTGCTAACTCTGGTATTTTATGTCCACTGAGATGCTCTCTAACATGACCTTATTGCATCATAAGTTGATTGTCCATTCTTGTCACCATCATGAAAGGGCTACCTTCCATGAAGTGTGAAAGTTTTTTTGAGTATTTTTCTGATTTGTAGAGACCCTTATATTTTGGAAAATCTGCCATTAAGAGGACTACCTTGTAAGTATGAAAGCCACATTTTGGTTATGTTTATGAGAGTTACTTGCCTTTTAATCAAAATGAAAAGAAAAATTTTTCTATGCTAAAAAAGAAAAATGCAAAATATAGTTGGGCATGAAGGAAGGGGGAGCTTCTCTTGCAAAATTTAAAATTGACCAATGTGTCATTTTACCCCCTTGAGGACACTATCACACACTAAGATAAGCTCTTGGAAATTTATCTTATTTGTGTGTGATTAAGGAAGAGTTGAGTTGTTTTTTATTGCATAATGCTAACAACTTTCATATGAGTTTATATGCCTTTTAAGTTCGAAAATTTTGATCTACTAAGATGATTTGCACAGATTGACTGTCTTGACCCTCAAAAATTCATTTGAAGCATTTTATCATTTTTAATTTTATGTTTTTAATATTGTTTCAATAAAGTCCTATCTTTTGAAAATTTATAATGTTCTTTTGGGATGTTGTGCGCTCACACAATTGCATATGTACACTCACTTAGGATAGAGTTCTAATTTTGGTATAACTCATTTTAGGGCTTCAAAATCAATGCCGGGCAAAAATGTTAGCCCTAATTCATTTGCGCATCAGTTTTCACATTCCATAATCTCTTTTGCATCGCCTAAGTTTTTTAGACTTCACGATTTTTTTCTCAGTAAATTTTTCTCTCTTTTTCTCATGGAATCAAAAAAGAAAGCAATGGAGGATCCAAAAAGAAAACAAGGATCTCTGGGAAAGGGATTTTTAGCAATGAAGAAGGCTAGATTGCATAGTCAAATGCTGCTGAAAAACCCTACTCCTTTAGCGAGTAATTTAGATTCTGAAGAGGGAAGTCAAGAGAATCAATCAAATCACTCAACCACCCTTGGTTCATCCCCTGTTTCTAGTGATCACCAATACTTGGAGTGCCTATAAGAAGAGTTAGTCCTTGCTTCACTAGAGAAGTCGTTGGAAAAATCTCATTCGGCATCTGACAACACCCCGATAGCCACTTTGAAATCGCGTAAGGAGGGTTCTTCAAAAGCCATGCCTTCAAAACTTCTAACTCTAATAGAGTTGGCTAAGAAGAAAGGAAAAGCTGTTATGGAGGAACCCTTATCTAGTAACATCTCT